CGCTCCACCTGAACTTCGTAGCGGGTGAGTACATTGAAGGCTTCCTATCGAAATGAAAATATGGTGGAAAAAATGTTTCTTTCTTTCGGAAATTACCCGCCCTTACTTCTATTGGATCGATGCGCAACTCCATGTCAACTTCTTGCTCCCTTATTTTAGCCAAGGTTTCCATAATCATTCGCACATCGTCAAGATCACGTATTGGCCTGTCTAACTTTCTATCCATTTCGTTAATTACTGCGTAGACATAGTCCATCTCCTTTTTGTACTTCTTCTTCATGGCCTGACCAATCTTGTGATTACAGGCTGAAACGAAATTATGTATATTTTTAAGCAGCACTTGAAAAGTCTAAAACTCTTTTTCTGTCTGACTTTATGAACAATAATTCACTTACATATACAATGGGATCGGAATACAGTGAAGCCTGTCCGAGCCAAATTAGCAAGGGACCAGGATTTTTTACAGCCTTATACAAGTTTTCGGCGATATATAGGGTGATTATAAACCCGTTCTTAAATAAACATATTTCGTTGTCTTAATCCACAGTTTCAAATAAAAAGGCTTATGTATATACATATATAGATAAATACATTCCACATAGTGCTATTTTGTCCCTCTGATCTGTGATGTAATTTTTTCTGATTCATAAACAAGGAAATGGATTTCTGTGCCAGCTCATGATGGTAAAATAGAACAAACCTAATAATAAATCTCTCATCTTCCTCTCTTAAGGGCAACACATGGGACAGCTAATCTACTAGTCTAAATGCGCCTTCACCTATAGAGGCAGCCTTCCTGACTTGACTTAACCTCTCTTAACCTAACCCAATAAGATATCGCATTGAATTTTTGTCGAAGAGGTATCCTCTTTCCTTCAAGAATGATAATTGAATTGTGTAATAAAATCAAAAATTAATTATTTTTCTTTTTATTAGGATACCTTGTTAAGAGATGAAGAATAAAATTAAAATTTCGCTGACATGATGCCAGGCCTATTGAATGGCACTAAAAGTAAGAAGGTATTACAGTATTCCCCGCTTATTTGACCTCCGGTTAATTGGTATCCCCGCATAAATTATTAAAAATTTGTGCTATCGAAAAGGAATATACCATCAATAACCCCCTTCCCCCATAAATGTATTCCCTGCTTAATTAAACTAAAAATTTTGCAAATTTTGAAGTGCAATTAAGCGGGAAATACTGCTATTTTTCAAATCCAACTTTATATATTTTATCGCTAAAAAAACTTTTCAAACAAAAAATCTATAAATTTTTATAAATGTTAGGTTTTATGTGTGGACATTAAAACTGGGCTACAGAAACAACACTCTCAAGCCAGGACTCTGGTCATTTTATGTTGCACCTTAAAGTTAACGCAGATCTTTCTTATCATCCTCCTTCTTCCTTATATCCATCAGATGGCACTGTGAACAAAAAATAAGGCTTTACGCAAAAATAGCGTAGGAGCACACTTTAAATATGAAGAAGTGTGGTAGAAAATTAAAAAATATATATATATATTTCGGTTTTACCACGTTGAAACTGTATTTAAAAAAATGAATTTGATATATTTTATGCACGGCTTTCGTATCCCAGATCTTTGCAGTAGAAAAGGAATAAGGGGCCACAAATTTCACCTTTTCACTGATGATTGGATTTAGTCACGTACAATATCATAACGGCATAATGAGTGCCAATTTACACATCAAACGAAAACATTAACCACAAATTGTAATAAATTTCAACAACATCGCAACGTAAGAAACGAAATTCGTTTGTGTTAAGCGAAATTAGCGGCACTCCCCTTCCCAAAGACGCCCACAAATCAAT